GATAAAGTAGAGCAAAAAATTAGTTCACGGATATTTTTCGAGATGGCACCATAATCTTATCGTATATTTCATAACGTCGGAATATTCAGATTATATATATATATATATATATATATATATATATATATATATATATATATATATATATATATATATAGTTTTCTCAGAACCTACGCAACGACGATAATAATTAAGCAAAGAAGAAATTGTAAAGAAATCGTTATAACGGCACGCCCGAGTTGCTTTCCTACGCGTAATAGCAATAATAAAATAATATCAGAATAAATTAAATAATAACCGAATAAAGAAATAATAATATTCGAATATTAAATGGTAGTGATAATAATATCTGTTCGACAATCGTGTGATAATATATATTATTTCTTTATTAGTATACACACACACATTCATATACACACACACACACACACCTACACCAACACACATATGTATACATATATATATACTCTGAATATTCGGACGTTATGAAAGGTGTGAGAAAAGTACGGTGCCATCTCGAAAAATATCCGTGAACTAATTTTTCGTTCTACTTTATCATAGCTGTCGGAAAACCTAGCATGTGTAATCAAAACTTTTTCTACAAACTTTTCGTATCTTTTTTGGCATACTAAACTAAATTTTTTTTTTAAACTAAATTCTGAAAGTGTAATAATGATCTTTGAAATTTTCCTGATTAAAGTATCCAGTTATGTACAGGGTGTTGTACTTACATACAGGTCAGTACGACGGGTTGCCTCGTCAGCAAGCGCGTTTTCTTTCCTATGAAGTTTAATGCGTTCAATTGCGCGCGTGATAATTTCGTCAAGGTCTACTATGACACGGTATTGGAGTCTGCCATGTAACTGATTTTCCTGTGTCTGGGGACCAGACGAAGAGTCCATTAGATTCATTAAACGTTACAAATGCTTTGAAGTGCCGAATCAACCAACCATAGTTTTTCTTTAAGCGCTTCAAAGCATTTAGAATGTTTAATAGATTATACTCAAAAACTCGAACAGAAAGATTTCTGTGGAAGTTCTCTTTCTATATTCAGTCAATTATTTTCAGTTATTTCATTATCTCAATCTAATTTTCATCTGATCTCCATTCTGTTACGTAAATTAAGGTCATTTTTAAGGTGTAATAATATTCTATATTCTATAACTATATGATAAAAATAAAAAAAATATTTTATTCAGAAAGTTCCCCTTGTGTGTACATTACCTCTTAACTCTTTTGATTTCTTAGGGCTAAATATATCTTAGTAAAAAATAAAGAAATAAGCCCAACAGTTTATTAGACCTGTTAATATTGTTTAATTTACTTTCCTGCCCAAAAGAGTCAAATTTGAAATTTCTCAGAAGAAAGAAGAAGGGTTAGTGCAGTGTCAATATAAAAAGCGAATGTGATTGCACTTTGCAGGACAATATAATCAACACCTCAAAAGTGATCATCTGGTACTTGAAAAAGATCGATTTTCACGGCGATATATTTGTGATCGCTTCAGAACCATTCCGGAATAATTTACAAAAAGCGGGAATAACAATGGTGGAACAAGTAAGAAAATAAATAATTTTCTACTTCTTCTCAGTTCTTTCATTACTGATAACATCATCGGTATCAATATTTTCATATCTTATATTTTTTTCAACTTATTGTGTTTGTTTTAATTTATTATAATATTCAGTTAAAAATCTAAAAACAATTGTGTCATTACTAGTTCGCTAATATACTTTATGGCAATATCAGTGGCATTCCGATTGTCTTTACGTTGATTTCAACATTTTCCAACAAATATGCCGTTATACTGTTTTTTGAACAATAAAGTATTTTGAACAAAGAGTATATTATATAAATTGCCATAATATCATCATAGTTTATTGGCATCACCAGTTTTTTTTATCGTTTTGGGCAAAGGAAAGATTTGAGTGATCGCTACAAGATTGAAATCACATAGTAATGCTCAATAATACACTTTTCTGTAAAGACAACTGTACAATTCAGATTTTGTCGAATTTAAAAAATATATTTATGTAACAACTGAGCTAAATTTCTCTTTTGCAGCCAAAAGTTTTCCCAATGAATGCATCTGCAACCATAAGTGAGCTTCAGGATCGGCCTTCTGTTAAAGCTGTAATTACCGACTTTGATTACTACTGCGACTGGGCAAAAATGGCTTTAGCCATATCATGCCTCAAACGTAAAGAAGTAATATATTTGACAGGGGCACAGGACAAATGGGTGGGCGAAAAGAAGAGTAGAGTTTTAGGTAAGTATCGACAATGTTGTGTGTTGGATAATAAAAATTCTTGCTTTATTTTCTGTTTTGATATAAGAACATTTAGTTACCATGCGCCTCTTGTAAAAAGCTTTTAAATTTATAAAAAAAGACGTTTGCCATTCTTGTTATTTAAATGTAACGCAATACATAGATAAAGCACAGATAAAACTCAAACGGAAAAAATCACAGTCGTGTAACTGAATTGAAAGTAGGTGTAAACTCAATAGGGAAGAATAATATCTGTGTTATTGTGATCGAAAATATTTGTCTGAATATTTAGCTACTTTAGAATTTGATTGAGATAATTAAAAATAATTGATTAAGGGTGCACTTCATTAGACGCTACAAATGCTTTGAAGTGCTGTATAGACCAATCGTGACTTTTTGTTAAACGCTTTAAAACATTTACCTAATGGATCGCACTCTATATAGAAGCTGCGTTGAATTTCTCTCGATACACTATTTGACATAATAGTTTTAATATTTATTAAGCCTAGTTACAAAAGGATTTCTCGACTACATAGAATGTTTTTACATATCCTAATTGTATCCTGACTGTTAAGTATTCTAACGTTGTTTCTTAGAATATTTCACGGTCATGATGCACGAATATGCAAAAATATTGTGCGTGGACGAGAAATTCTTAATTAACTAATTATAACTAGTCTTTATAACTAGGCCTTGTAAATGTTAAGGTTATTACATCGGATAATATACTTACAGTCGAATTTTCTTCAATATGAAATGTATAACGTGGCCACTAATGTTGCTCTTAGAAGATGAGTTATAAAGAGCGTGCGTTTTAGGCATAGAAAAAAATTTACATATATTGTTGTAGAGAGAGAGAGAGAGAGAGAGAGAGAGAGAGAGAGAGAGAGAGAGAGAGAGAGAGAGA